TCGCTCAACCGTACATCAAAGTTGTCAATGTACTCTTCAAGAGTACACTGGCCATTCTGATAAACGTTCAAATAGTAGGTTGAAAATTTTGATGCGTGTCTAAAGGGTTTGTATATATTCTTGCACTTGTATAAACCTATTATGAGTTTTTGATTGTACAGCATTTTTTTGAGTGTATGACAAGATCAAATTAACAAGAATGTAAGATTCGTTGCTCCAGAAAGTTAAAAGAGGCATTCATTCTTACCTAATGAATTGTCATTATAGCCTTTACAATGTGCACCAATATATGTCCACCCTCTGCCTGTATAAATTTGTTGTTGATCCTTATTATCATTACACAATATAAAATTATAACCAATATCATCCCATCCTCTTTCATCCATATGATAATCTTGAAATAGTTTTATTTCTCTAACACAACTCTGTTGATTTATCATTGAATTTACAGGTTCTGGTGTGAGTACAACTATATATTTAACTGGTAATGCTAAATTACTATGATTTTTATATGGCCTTGCATTCCAGCTAGATCGACTAAATATAGTGGGACAATCTAAAAGATGTGAACATCAAACATGTCTATTTTGTATTTAATCAATAAAAAATCGAATCTTTTGATTTTTGCAAAGAATAGTTCACTCTAAATCTATCAAGTCGGATTAATCTATTAACTAAGAAATCAACTTTATGTAAAAATTTTTTGCGTCTAAACGCATTTGAATAATTTTTGGAAAAAAGACACATCCTGTTCTCGCAGATTTGAACTGCGATACCATCAGAACCTCCTGATAGTCAGCTCTTTCCTAGAGGCATATACAGAACAAGTGAAGTAACTTACGCGAGAAGTGTAATATGTGCGATGATTGAGGCTAGACCAGAAGAACTTTGAATCAGAAAGCAAGTTACTTACGTTCGAGCTAAATCAGCTCGAAAGATTGTCTTCTCGATATAGATATTGTTTTCAGTTGATTTTAAGTATGAAATGAATTTTGGAGACTTCACTCACAAAATATAAAATTACAAAGAAATTATTTTCCTTGGTTATTTTCTAATAAAAGTTGAATAATATCTGAAGACTTGCATCTAATCAAAATAAAATGTTATTCTAATACTAGAGATGTCAATTCATGTACGAATAAATTAAATTAACAGTAATTCACATGAACAATAAATCAACGTTATAGAAAATCCAATTTATTTTTAATTTATATTATGAAGGAAAATAATTCAGATTTATTTTCAATTAACAAGAAATAACATCTTTCCTAATGCGAATATTTTTTTTACTTTTTTAAAAGCTTTTGATCAATTGCCTATGATTTATTTTTTCCAATAAGTTTTTTTTTTTCATATATATATATTAAATAGAAATTTTGACGAGTTCGTTACAGTTTATTTGTGGACAAACAATCTTCTTTTTATATATATTAAGTAAAAATTTTATCCAATTGACTACAGTTTAAATGTCACAAACAAGCTTGATTCTTCTTCATGTATGTTAAATAAAAATTTAAGGTTAAAAGTCCTTGTGTAATCAAATCTTATTTCAAACAAATCGAAATTTTCCTAATTTATAACATTTTCAAATGAAATTAGATAATTGAAATGATGTACTTTAATTTCCTACAAAGAAGTATGCATAAGATACTCATTCATTGACTAAGTAAAATACAAAATAAAAATCTATCTTTTGATTCGTATTAATTTTATTATGTAACATATTTCCATTATTGAAACAGTATAACTATTACATATGTGTTTAATATCAACTGACATAGAAATTCCTTTCTTATTTTAAACGTATCAATTCAGAGTCTCATTCATAATGTCGTTTTTGATTTAATCACGTGTCGCCTTTTTGTGTACTCAAAAAGTGAGTACACTCTAGAATCGGTCAGTATGTCCGGCCGTCCGGCCGTTAACACGATAACTTTTGAAAGGAGAGTCCGATCGCGATGAAATTTTCTACACAGTTTAGTCTTAACAATATCTCGGCCGAGTTCGAAGATGAGAATGATTGACAGAACCATTGCTGAGTTATTGCAAAAATAGTCATTTTTCCCTATGAGAAGATAGATCCTTCTCTGCTTTCATAAAAAACTTTTCCTATCATAGTCATATAAACCCCCAACTATTATATACCATTCGATAGAGAATTTCACGAGCTACAAAATGGTATATAAAACATAAAAAAACAAGAAAGCTAACTCGCCTATTGCAAAGATAATTAATCGGAATTCGGTTCTGTTTTTGTCCACGCTCTATGTGATCCACAATTCGAGCTCTATCTTCCCATCACAGAGATGATAGTTCGAGGTTTTCTAGAATGGAGAACTCGAATCTATGTTCCATTCGCCTCGAAATCCCATTGGTTGAGCAGTGACCAATAGAAATCAAGTTATAGAAAAAACGACTTTCTTAGGGTAAATCAAGGTGAAGAGTTCAAATCTGAGCTGTATTTGCCTCCAAATCGTATTGGCTGAGCAATAACCAATAGAAATTAAGTGTTTACAGAAAGGGTTTGTCAGGACAATTTTGATGTCCACACATTCTAGGGTGACTCATCTGTCTCATTCACTTTTTGAAGTACACATAACTCTCGGATTTAAATCCGAGGTTTCCACATTTTTTTTGTTAATATTGAAAATGCGGCATGCTTTCACGCCACCAATGGAAATAAATAATAATGGTTTAATCGAAGAAAAAAACAACAAACTAATAAACAACCTTTTTAATTGTTTGCGTCGTTGTCATCTTAATAATATAGACAATAGCAGCATCTTCATTAAACCTGAAGCAATCATGTTGAAATGTTATATATTTTGTCATATTCCTAATGTTTGTGAATCTTCATGACTATATTATATAACTGATGTATCTAATAGAATAAGTACTATCATCAAACTCTCACTATTGTTAGATGAATATCGATACGCCTTTCGTATAAAGGTAACTATGTGAGATTTTTTCTTTAGCGCGAACAAATATTTATCTTCCACAGCTTTTTATAATAATTATTTTATTGATATATCTGCGTATATCTACTTCATTTGACATTTGTTTTTTCTTGATTTTTTTCAGATATATTTCGAATATTTCTAGAAAAACGATAGGTTATATTCGAAAATTGATTTGTTCAAACTTTTCTTATTAGCTTAACAATTTAAAACTTGAGAAATAAGTGAAAAATCATACCTATTCAAAAACTTAATAAATGATAAGATAATACATACAGGTTCCAAGTACAAAGTGGATATAGTTACATCGTCAAAGTAGATGACTGGTTTTATGTGTTCTTATTTCACAAACTCGGAAAGCTAAATGCAATTTATTCCTACGTTGTTACGATCATATCCTAGTAAATTATCAAAAAGAGTCATAGCTATTAGTTTTACTTAAGTTAAGGAATGTATATGAATGTATTTAACATCCATATGTTATATGAAAGTGATTGTAATAGTTTAAAAGAGAATTTTGAAAAAACCATGTTCATATTTGAAGTACATCTAAACGCGATTGTTGCTTGAAACGCATCTGAACGCATCGGTTAGACGCGTTTGCCAGTTAGAATGCATCTGAACGCGTCTCGGAAACGCGTTTGTTACTTGAAACGTGTCTAGATGCGTCTCTCAAACGCGTCTATTGGTTGAAACGCGTCCGAGTGCATCTTCTGAACGCGTTTATTAGTTAAAATGTGTCTGAACGCGTCTTTCAAACGCGTTCGTTACTTGAAACGCGTCTAAACGCATCTCCCAAACGCGACTGAACGCGTTTTATCAATGTTTTTTAACATAACCGCATCCAGACGCGTTTATAAACGCGTCTAGCTGCGTCTTATCTGCGTTTGAGTTTTATATGGGTAATGCTTTCTCGAGATCTATGAAATATGGGATTGGTAGTTTGACTAGACAACTTGAACTCAAAGTCGCTGATTTTAATTTCCAATAAGGAAAGAGTGAATTTTGTTTAATTTGTTTAAAAGCTGAAATACTTCCGTCGGAGAAGTGAGGAAGAGATCTTATACTTTAGCTTTTTAGAACCATCTCTGATACGCTTTTTTATTGCTCAGTTTTACCTGATAATGGTGATTCTGTGACAGGCATTGGCATGTTTGTAGTATTTTGTGTGGAATTCTTTTTAATAACAAAAATAAAAATGAATGTTAAAGTTAGGGTGTGGGTGTGGGTGTGGGTGTGGGGTGGGGTGTGGGTGTGGGTGTGGGTGTGGGTGTGGGTG